GTGAGTTGGACTTTCTGTCGATGTTTTTTTTTCTTCTATTTACTGATTTATTTTTCTGTGTTTTTTTTCTTCTTTGTCTTTTTAAGGGTCTGCTTTTTTTTTTTTTTTTTTTTTGTCTAATGATTATTACGTTTTGAAGAGGGTAGGTGGTTGTTAAGTATGCATGGGGGGGGATATATATATACAGTGGGAAAGGGTATGGGACTCGAGATAAACTCCCGTACCCAGTATAGATAAAAAAGAACTAAAAAGAAAAATCCCTCATGATAAGACACCCACGTAGGTTCACGCGAAATATACATGTACATATATATATATATATATATATATATAGAGAGAGAGAGAGAGAGAGAGAGAGAGAGAGAGAGAGAGAGAGAGAGAGAGAGAGAGAGAGATTTTTTTCCCAACAAATTCAAGTTGTTGACATGTTTTCCAGTCATGCCAGTACTTAGCAAACCAAAATGTAATAATCAACAAAAAGAAAATCTAAGGGCACTCAGATTTAGAACACTTTCAATCGTATCTCTCCTCGTGGCCTGACCAACGCGAACGCACGCTTATCAGATACGGGTGATAACAGGTGGGGGAGGTTGGGGCAGGGGCAGGGGAGGTTGGGGCAGGGGCAGGGGAGGCCGGGGGCAGGGGCAGGGGAGGATAGGGAGAGGAGATTGGACTAAGGAGGGGGAAAGGGGAAAGGGGAGAGGCCGGAGGGAAGGAGTAAAGTAAGAAGGGGAAATGGGGTTAGGAGAAAGGATGGGATGAAGGAAAGGGAGAAAGGGGGAAGGGGAGAGAACGAAAGAGATGGAGAAAAAGGGAAGGGGAGAGGAAGGTCGTGATTCACTTAAAAAAATAAATCAAACTTTAGCGGTTTTCTTACTAGGGAAGGGGGGGGGGGGAAGGAGATTGAAAGGGACAAATGGTGTAAAGGAGTAAGAGAGGGGAAGGAAAGTGCCGAAGGAGGGGGGGGGATGGGGGAGGAGGGGAGTGAGGGAGGCAGAGACCCACATACAAGGTCAAATTTTAGTGATTTTGTTGCTGGGGGAGAAGAGGGGAGAGAGGGAGGCGATAAAGGGAGATGAAGAGGGAGAAAGTGGAGAAAATGGGGGGGGAGGGGGGAGGAAGTAAAGATCCACATATATCAAACTAGCATAATAATTTTCTTCTAAGGGAGATTTAAACATAGAGAAGGGGAGAAAATAGTGAAAGTAGGGGACAGGAAGGAGAAGGAGAAGGAGAAGTAGAAGTAGAGAAGAGAAAGGGGGGGAGGAGAGAAAGATAACACAACAATGAAACGGAGAGTTGACTATTTTATCTAAACCGGATAACTATACTTATTTATAAAACACACAACACATACACACCTCAGGGCCTTGGAGACTGACCGAGTGAGAGCCATCGACACAACGGCGAGGCAAAGGAACCAGCTGGCACCCTTAAAATTCGTACCCTAACTGTGCTTGCGGAATCACGTGGAATTGACTTAATGTTTTTTGTTGTTGTTGTGTTTTTTTGTTTTTTGTTTTTGTTTTTGTTTTATTTTTTTGTTTTTTGTTTGTTTTATTTGAGCTCGGGGGGCTGTAAACAACATGTCAAGAATAGGGAGCGTAGATCACGTGGACTGAGGTGTGGGAGGGGGGGGGGTTGGAGAAGGAAGGGAGGAGGAGGGAGGAGATAAGAAGGAAAGGGAGAGGAGAAGGGAAAGGCCTGAATAAAGGAAAAGAATGGGGAAGGAGAGAAAGGAGAAGAAACTAGAACTAAGCAAAGGAAAGAAGAAAGGGAAAGGAGAATAGGAAAAGGAAGAGGGAGGGAGAGGGAAAGAGCTAATGTAAAAGGCGAGAGGAGAAGAGGAATGGGGGAAAAGGGAAGGAAAAGGAGGCTTAAGGGTCAGAAAAGGAATAGGGAAAACAAAAGGAGAAGGGGAAGGAGGGGGGTCGGGATGCATAGGGTTGCATAGGGTTGCATAGGGTTGCACAAGGAATCGGGTTCTAGGTGCGGTTGCATTGGGTGTCGTTTGGTGAAATTATGTATTTGTTCCCTTCTCACTCCCTTTTTTTTCTTTCTTTTCGTCTTGTTTATTCGTCTTTCCTTCTTTCTCTTTATCTTTTAGTGTTGGGATTTTTTTTTTCTTTGCCTTTTAATTTCGTTGAAGGACAGTTTTTTTTTACTCTTCGTGAGGAAGATAATGACAATGATGATGATATCGATAATGATGAAAATAGAGAAAGAACGAGAGGGAGGGAAGAGTTACGAAAGGAGGGAAGAGGGAGGGAAAGGAGTGACGCAGAACCTCCCCCCCCCCTGCCCCCTCCTTGGCGAAGGTGCGCGGAGGTGTAAATATAGTTCGAGCATTTTCATGCCCCGAGATCTCTGGGTGTGACTGGTAGAGTGTTTTTGATATCAGTCGTTTTAGATTGTCTGTTTCTTCCTCTCTTTGTGTGTCTCTTTCTTTCTTTCTTTTTATGTTTATCTTCTCTCTCTCTCTCTCTCTCTCTCTCTCTCTCTCTCTCTCTCTCTCTCTCTCTCTCTCTCTCTCTCTCTCTCTCTCTCTCGCTCTCACCTCTCTCACCTCTCTATCTATCTATCTATCTATGCATTTATCCATTTCTCTCTATCTCCATCTCTCTCTATTTATCTATCTATCCACCTGTACTTTCTGTCGTCTGTTTCCACGATTAGAAAAATAACATCACACGTTTAATTAAGTGCCAACTGAGATACCCCCCCCCCTACATCGCCCCCCCCCCCCTTTTCTCCTCCGTGCCTGGGATAATAAACAGATCGCCCGTTCCCTGTGCTTGCTATGTGACCTTCGTAGGGTACAGGAAGATGAAGGGGGGGGGGGGGTATGGGAAGACAGAGGGGGGTGAGGAGTGGAGAGAGAGAGAGAAGGAGATGGGGGGAGAGTAGAAAGAGAGCAGAGAGAGAGAGAGAGAGAGGGGGGGGGGAGAGGCGAGGAAGAGACAAGGAGAGTGTTTGAAAGGAGGTGGAAGGAGGAGGAGGAGGGGGGAGGAGGGAGGGAGGAGGAGAGGGCTAGGGCTGTTAACGGTTCCATGATGCTTGCAGTCTTTGCGCGGGGACGTTGGAAGGGAAGGAGGAAGAGGAAAAGAGTGATAGAAAGGAGAAGTAAAAGTAGAAGTAGAAGGAAAATGAAAGGGATGAATTGGAAATGGTGGTGATGGTGATACTTAGGAATTAAATGAGTTAAGGAAAGAGAGAGAGAGAGAGAGAGAGAGAGAGAGAGAGAGAGAGAGAGAGAGAGCAAAAACCAACCATATCTTATAAGAGAGACAGATCGAAATATATAAGTAAACAGAAACAGTGAACGAAAAGAACATTTAAAAAAAAAAGTCATAGACAAAAAGGAGATAAAAATACCCAAAAGCAAAGAGAGGAAGAGAGAAAATGCAAGCCTCAAGCAACAGCGTACTGGCAGCAAGCAAGAGCGATCAATAGAGTACCTCTCTCTTCCCCCCCCTCCCCTATTTCCCCTCTCCCCCCGCCTCTCTCTCTCCCTGGTAGTCATTCGCTTTTATATAAACGAACCCAGCGACCTTTCACTTAACGAAGGGGGAATAAGGGAGACAGAATAACATTCAAGAACGTCGAAAAGAGAGTGTGAATAGATGGGGGGGGGGGGGGCTAGGGAGGATTCACCATGCTATATACGAGTACTTATTCTCTTAAAAAAAAATCTAAAATAGGGCTCATTACTGTCGTATTTTGCTCGTAACGATGTATAGCTCGGGAGAGGATTGTCAACATGGCAACTATGTATAAAGAAAAAAAATGACACAGTTGCTATAGGAGTGCTTTTAACACGTTTCGTTTCGTAAGATTCGTGAATTGGATATATATATTGGGCATTGATTTATTTATGTGTAGTTATCAATACGGTATTATTGTTACTATTTTTTTTATTATTGTGATATTTACGATGATAATACTTATTTTTGTTAATTGTTTAAAGGTAAAACGGGTAGGGTTATGGTGAATAAAAAACGTGTTAGTGGTTATTGAACTTTTTAATATTTCGTCAACGCATGCTTTGTGCCAATAATTTTCTCGATTATTTTGCAACATCGCTGTTTGTATAATGATTATCGTGATTATGCAAATGTTATTCGTTGCATAAAGGTTGGCTATTTCCGTGCGCACCAGTGCCAGTCAGGGAAAAGTGTAAGTAAAAAAAATGCAATACTTTTCAGCTTGGCCCAAAACTGTCTTTGCCAAATTACTCCTTGACAAATTTGGAATTCTTGTGTTAATAGTCTCATTAGTTCTGAAGTGTTTGTTTGTATTTGTATATCTGTGTATCTGTTTCTGTCTGTCTGTTTAACTATATTTACGTACATTCAGGCCTTTGTAAAATCTGTGCGTGGAGACCTGTATACAAAACATACATGATTATATAAAGCAGACTGTGAGGGTGTTTGGGTTCACGCAGTCATACGATAGATTAAGCAAAATCTTGGGAATTTTGTTTTCCAATGCTTCTCCGATGTTCTTTTTTTCTGGGATTAGAGAGAGAAATGGTCAAAATTTAGATCGATACAAGAAGATAGGAAGACAATGCGTCAGGGTGTTAAATAAGTTATGTTATTGATTTGCATAAAATGTTTTTTTTTTTACGGCTTTGACTTTATTTTTTTCTGGTATTGAATTGTAGTGATATTAATATTGGGACGTAATTTACAATGGTAACCAACTACAATAAAATAATAATAATAATAATGATAATAATAATAATAATGATAATAACAATATTGTTAATAATATCGCCATGTGTATGATATGGACGTGATATTGCAAAATATTTTTAAAATTTTAAGATTTACAGTGGTATCCAACTACAATATAATAATAATAATTATGATAATGATAATAATAATAGTCATAGTGATAATAATAATAATAATGATAGTAATATCGCCACGTGTATGATATGGACGAGATATTACAAAATGTTTTTAAAATGTCCACCTGGCGAGATATGGCAACTC